GTGACATTATCTAAGCTGCCCAACAAACACACTAAGGGGGAAGTTGGAATTGGTGAAAATTTCAATATTTATTTTATCTGCTGTAAGTACTTGCAGCTTTTGTTCAATACTTTATTGAAACACCTTTGTCAGGAATTACAGCCTCCAGTGTTTTTAAATATAATTCTACTAGCTTGGCACAGTGATAAACCTGCAAACTGGTGTGTGGCTTTTTTTGGACTCACAGATTGTTTTTATCTGTTTCCCTCATTGCTATAGTTATGCTATTATGTTAGAGGTAGTTGTGAGCTGTGCCACACATATTTAATTGACACTCACACAAGTACCTGTGTGAGATCTGGGACACAGCTTTGACTAAGAACTCTCTTTTTGTTCTTACTTTATGGCTTTAAAAAATATGGAGATAAATAACGTATATCACCATCCAGCTAAAGAATATCGAGATATGAATTTTCGGCCATATCGCCCAGCCCTCTGACTAAGCTCTCCTAAAATTTTGAAAATGTTAGCTCTTTATACAGTAAAGTTACAGGAGGATACAAAAAAATATCAGGCTGACCCTGCAACAACCCCTTGTCCAAATCATGGACAAACAGTATCCCACATTCTTGATTTTTATTACTTCTGAAATTTTGGAGGTGTTAGCTCTTTGCACAGTAAAGTTACAGGGGGATACAAAAAATATCAGGCAGTTTCAGTTGTAATGCGCAAAGTGAACGGTAACACTAATCTTTCACTTTTTCACTAAAGTAGAGCATCACTACTTCCATGTTTACTTGCTTGGAATGGAGGCGGAGTCAATTAGATCCGCTCTTTATGCCCAGTGCGCGCTCCCGACGCACGGGAAACCAAATGTGATGGGGATCCTTACTTTGGGATGACACTTCCACTGCAAACATCCACAGTAAATGTCCGCAAGAGAGTAAAATCAAAGCTCAGTCTGCGCTGCTACTGGACAGCTTACTTGGGCGGTATTAATCTCAACAGGTTATGTGTATCTCCATATCTTACTCTGATTATACTATTAATGAAAACAATTTGTGGCACTTAAAGCAAATGTAAAACCTAACTTTAAAGATGCCCCGCCCCACAACAGGTAATGTGATCGGGCATCTGTTACCATGGTGATCTAGAGAACCACCTTCACCCTGAAATCTCTGATGTTAACGTTGGCATACATCGTAATCTAATTTCTGCTGCATCTTGTGTTTAGCAGGTTCGGCAGGCCGTGGCAGCTGAGGGTGCCACGGCTAGCTGCTGACGCCACAGTTAGAGTCAGAAAGAGTTACTCTGTCCCACAGGGACATATCGTTCAATTAAACATAAAGTGAATAATAAATAAATAAATAAATCTCACCTGCAGAGACGAACACTAAAACTCTGGCAAACAAAGCCAAATAGAACAGCAGATACGCTGTAGCAGCCATTTCCCCGTTATAGCCATGATAAAAGGGAAATGACTTAGGCGAGTTTCCGATCGCGATCCGATCTCACGTGAGATTTTTGACATAAAATTTAATTTTAATCATGAGTCAACGGGTGGAAACACTTTCTGGAAAAAACAAAAACAAACCTATAAATGTTTTCCTTCCTGATTTGACGTCTTCTTTAATGTTAACTTTTCGCCTGAGTGGCGACGCCTACCGTTTAGGAGAAGACTGCAGTGACTCCAGCGTCTAGCTCCAGTAGGTCATCAGAGGACAGAAGTCAAACTAAAACAACAAAGTAGTACTTCTGATAAAGTGATTTACGTCACGCTGATCTGGACTCATGAAATCATTTTTCTCATAAGTGAAGTCATTAAATTGATTCTGTCAGACTGGGCTTCATCCATAAACACACACATTAGTGGTCACACACATTTTACAAACTTTTCACAGAAACACACACACACACACATATATACATATACAGTGGGGCAAAAAAGTATTTAGTCAGCCACCGATTGTGCAAGTTCCCCCACTTAAAATGATGACAGAGG